AGACTTCAACGCTTATCTGGTCAACAACAGTGAGACATGGAGGGGCGTGACTGGGAGGAATGGCCTCCCAGGTCTGAACCCCAGTGGTGTTCTGGTACTGGATTCCCGTACAAACCACAGTTTGTCCATAAAAACACCATGTTCAAACAAAAAGGTGTCCATAAGTGCTCGTGGCACCAGGACACCCTAGGCAGCAGGTCAATTTTGAGATCGTATCATCATATTTGATTGCGATGGAAGGTGCCTGAACATGTGAGCACCTTTCCCATAAACACCTACTCGGATCGACTCACCACAGCTCAACTCAGATCGAGTGATTTTACATTGCATACGACACGAACGCTACAACAAAGGTGGACATTGAGGCAAGAATATACCTGCTGCTCGGTCTGTGGCTTTTCGCCAGACTTGGGGACCATAGCGTCGTTTCTTGGAGCCATTTCCCTCATTGCCGGGTTTCAAAAATGGCAGTTTTGATTTTCATGAACGAGATGCTCTCATGACTTATTGAGTGAAAACTGTGGTGAACCGAGGAAAGTCAGTCCGAGTAGGGGAGACATGGGGACATTGAGTCTGAAAGGACCGTGGTCAGCACCTACACTACTGAAGCTGCTGCACTGCGCTACGGCTACAAGGAGGTTGGTGCCTGTCATGGTGGTAACCCCCTCACAGGTGAGGGGAACGGCTGAAGAAGAAGCACTATCCCGCTGGGATACCCTGTGGGACTTTGGAGGCAGCCAATAGGTGCCAGCATGGCTGTGGACGTTTTAGGGCTGTAATGGTTGACACGCCTCTACAATATTGTGTGGAGATCAGGAGTGGTACCTCTGGATTGGCAGGCTGGGGTGGTGATCTTTAAGAAGTGGGACTGGAGGGTGTGTTCCATCTATAGGGGGATCACACACTTCTTTACCTGCCACTCCTTCAGTATATGAATAGTTAACTAAAATGAAACAACAGTGATAACTTTAAACTTTGTCACAACTGCAAAGGTCACGCACATCGACTTAATTCAGCACATTACCTTCACACAGGAGCTTCCAGGACTGAAATATAAACCCAACGTGGAATTACTCAAAAAAACTGCAGTTCCTCTGATGGCCACTTGAGTCGCCAACAACCCAGAGAGCAAGTGTCGGTCCACGCTCACTTCTATATATGGTCCAAATAACAACATTATTACTGCCAAAAGGCTAACGAGAACAAAACCAGTGGGTGATGTCATGGTGACTACATCCATCTTTTATATACAGGCCATGCTCACTCGCAGCCCTCATCATAAAGAACATAATTACTGGGTTTTCTTTACATGAAACCACGGTCCACGGGCAGGGTGACAACATCGCTGTGCATGAATGTCCTCGTTTAATAATGGAGTCCAACAGGAATGCAAGTCTTTTCTTTACTTTGTGCCTCTGGAGGACATCATTTACTGTAATTTGTGCTGCACAGTAGCGCGACACGCTGTCCAACAACACAGCACAAGTGTAACCATCAGAGCAGAGTGGCTCAGAACTGGGACACACTGGCTGGTAAAATTAGACTCCTGGATGGTTTCCAGTGTAGAGTGTCCACTAAGTGTGGAGATGAGGTGTGAGTGTGTCTGTGTGTGTGTCTGTGTGTGTGTGTGGTGTATGGTTTGGTAACTAATGGATCCCAGCGTGAGCTCTCTTCCCTCCAGCTGTGGCTTCAGGGGGGCCCGAGGGGCTCTGAGAGGCCCCCCCCCCGTCTTAAAGGCTGACTTCCATCTCTAATGAAGGAGCATGTCAGCCCGCTCTCCTCCGCCCGCCTGCTCGCTCCCCAGAAAAGGCAGCATAATGGAAGAAAAATCCCTCGCTGCGCACAAGCTGTACAGCCTGGCAGCGCGCGGCAGAACAAAAGAGCAGCGGCCGGTCCCGCTTCTACCCAGACCAAAGGTTTTTGTGCTCCCTGAGAAACGGCACTCACATTTGCACCGACGGCTGCTTCCTGCTTTGTTTGACTGTTATGTAATAATAACATAACTTCTCCATCTCGAAGCTGAAAGCTGCGGCAGAGCCGTTAAAATGCCACGCTCAGACAAAGGATATTAAAAGCACTTCAGCTTATTCAGGAGCACCAACGACTCACACCTCCAACGACTTTTACTGACAAGCAAACACAGTTTCCGAAACAGGCGGAACCTGGATCAGATTATAATAATAACAATAATGATGTCCAGGTGATTTATCTGCATGCAAACACAGTGTGAGTGTGGAAGGCTAAGTGACTCCAGCCCGGAAACCTGATCAAATCCTCCCTCAGATGATTAAAGGCTGTCAGCTTAATTCAGCTGTGCAGGTTTGTTAAATATGCAGGCAGCGCTGAAGCTGACAGTCGTGATCTGCGCCCTGATGTGACTGCAGGCAGCCAGGACATGTCTGAGCAGCTAACGTTGCTTAAAACCTGCTTTTATACCAGGACAGATGACAGAGACGCAAAGTAGACTTCAGAATATTTTAAAGTGTTCTTAGAGTTTGTGAGTCGATGCAGTGCCTCTGCACCTCAGGTGCACACTGAAGTGGTACTGCATTCCTTCTGATGGTCAGCAGGGGGCG